CTAGAAACACTGGAGGGCATGTTTAAACAGATGGCTGAGCCCTACCTTAGATCACAGGCATCCAGTATGGTTTTCTGGTCTTGACCCTTATACACGGAGATTGTTCCAGATTCTCTGAATCTTTGGATGATATTATGCACTGTAGATGATGATAACTTCACACTCTTTGCAATTCTTCTCTGAGAAACTCCTTTCTGATATTGCTGCACTATTTTTCGCCGCAGCATTGGTGGAATTGGTGATCCTCTGCCCATCTTGACGTCTGAGAGACACTGCCACTCTGAGAGGCTCTTTTTATACCCAATCATGTTGCCAATTGACCTGATAAGATGCAAATTGGTCCTCCAGCTGTTCCTTATATGTACATTTAACTTTTCCGGCCTCTTATTGCTACCTGTCCCAACATTTTTGGAATGTGTAGCTCCCATGAAATTCAAGGTGAGCCAATATTCGGCATGACATTTCAAAATATCTCACTTTCAACATTTGATATGTTATCTATATTCTATTCTGAATAAAATACTGGAATTTCAACCTTCCACATCATTGCATTCTCTTTTTATTCACATTTTGTAGTGTCCCAACTTTTTTGGAATCGGGTTTGTATTTAATCTAGGCTTATAAACTGTATTGTGCATAAAGCCATACTGATTCTGCATTTTAACACAACTGACTTGAGAAGCACTTTGTGACACTTGCTCTTAAAAGGTGGCATAAAAATAAACTTTACTGAGTCACATTTAAATGATAAAATGGCTGATATTTTACGGTAATTCTAATAGCACTGAAAGCTACAGCTCATTCTTACTAGCTGTGTGCTGGACAGTTATCTAGTAAATTAAACTCACCTTTCAGTAAGCGGTCACACTGTGTACCACTCCAGCCGGACTGTCTTGAGCTGTGTTGTCTGGCTTGGACAACACTGCATGTCAGAAATTACCTGAATTACTTGTGTCTGCTTTGCAGCTTCGTCGACTTGCCAAGAGATCAAACTCCACTTTCACATTGTGTAGTAAAAGGATTAGTTAAAATGTAAGTGATTTGTTACTCTTCACAAAGTGGTGTTTGCACAACACCTCCTGTTACCAATGGAAAAGTTAAATCGATTGCTGAATAAGTTACATTTTTCCCTAATACGACAAAAGAAGAGGTGGACAGTGACATTATTATATTAAAACAAAGTAAGTGGGAGGCCGATAGTCATTCTGCTGCAGCAGATAAACTGATTGAAGCAATACCAGGCATGTCAGCTGTAATAAGCAAGTCGTAAAAACAGCGGTTGCAGGAATTGTAAAGCCGTGTATGAGACCTTGATGCAATTCCCTGTGTACTGGCAATAATACACCCATGCATACAGTATAATTTCTTTGTAAGACGACCCACCTTCATGAGCACACCACTAGAGAAATCTTGAACACAGTCAGGAAGGCAATGAGAGATTTCATATGACTCTTTATAGGGGTAGGATACCATACAAAATACAGACTTAACACTTCATAGGCCTTAAACAGACAGCAATGTTTTAGAGGTTTACATTCTGTAATTTAAACAGAAAAAGAAACAACTTATATTGTACCATTAGAAAACAAAGCTTTTACTAGCTGCACATTTAAACATATCACTTGAAGCTTAAGGTTTTTACAAAGTACTGGTATATCTGAGAATCTGATATGATGTATTGTTAGTTCTTAATTATGTCAAATGCTGCCTCTGCTACACTAAAGTTAACATCGTGGTCCAAACAGTCCTGCTCAGTACGAATAACAAAATCAATCAAAGAACTTTCTGGGTGAAACATGAAAGTAACAAAGTACCTCATATATTGCCATTACAGTCGCTCTCTTTCTGTAAAGTCCCAACACGTCTCTGTTAGAGCTTAATGTGTATAAATGGTATATAGCTAAACATTCACATATTGCACACTGCCCACTGTGACCGCCACAGATTCACACTTCAATATTTTACTGACTTGAGCCACAGTTAAAACTGTCCTTTAAAAAAAAACACCTAGCAAGTGCCAAGTTCCCAGTGACATAGTTTCATATGTACAGGTTTGGTAGAAGTTAGTATGATACAAGAGCGATACCATTTAGGAAAGGAAAGTTCATAAAGCTACAATTGATATGATAAGAAATTCCATTAAAATGGAAGTATAAATGACACATTAAATGAAACAATCCATCATCAGGACAGCTAATGTCCGAGTATTTACTTAAGAAAATTATTGACAATCAGTAGCAAACGTCTTTTACATTCAGTGTGGTGGGCAGCTTACAAAAATACAGAACATGCCACCTAGTAGGAAAACTGCTACACATCGATTTCAGGATAACATTTGTTTTTGTAAATCTATGTATGATTTTATTATTATTATACTACAGTTACAGAGGCGACCTAACTTGGGTTTAAAGGAAGAAAACTTTGATACCATGACAGCCAATACTGTGTTCTGTGCAGCAGTTTCTGCCATTAAAGCTTTAGACTTCAACAAAAACCTAGGTTTATTATGAAAGGATGTTACATCATTACACCACTACACCACTGGTATAATGCAAAATTACACATCTTTGATTGCATCTCCTTTGAGATGAAACAAAAACACATACACAAATACATAGACTTTTTTTTTGCTCAAAAATACACATTGAATGATCTGTGGGCATTTGTGAATATGAATCCATGTATATACACTATCTGCACACAGAATGTCTGTGGATGTGTATATATACAGTGTGGTCAACTTCAGGTGTGTGTGTGTGTGTGTGTGTGTGTGTGTGTGTGTGTGTGTGTGTATGTGTATGTGTTACCAGGCTAGTGGGGAGGCCATTCGTGGACTCCTGGGGCTCTTCACGGTTTCTACAGCCTGATTCTCACTGAGAGCTCTCTGTGGAACAGAATCAATAGGGTTTATAAGCCAACACAACTTGTACTATTACTATACTGCATGTCCTTAATAGCTTCTGTGGAATATTACAGGTGTGCATACCTTTACTTATAGTTATTTTATTGTTAGGTCATTAGTATGGGGAGGAAACTACAGAGGCGAACAGGTGTATATTGCTTTCACTCTGATTGTAAAGTTGACCAAATATTAGGGATTATTTGAATGCATGAATGGCTTTACCTCAAACTTGCTCATGAATTCAGCAAAGATGCCAAAAAAGGCCTCATTGTTTGTGGCTTTGCTGTCTTCTCCAAAGTAAGTGGCAGTTCTGCTGAATTCTTCCGTTGCTCTTTGTTGCAGGGACTCCAGAGACTGGACTGCTGGGTGACTGTTTTCTAGGAAGTTCTAGACATAATGGGGTCAAGGGGTACAAACATTTCTTGTTCTCTTCTACTACATTATGTTATCAAAGGCCTAAATATATCCCTGCCTCTGGCAGTTTTGTGAAGGATACACTCATGACAACAGCAAAACGGTCCTCAGCAGTCGCAGGCATCTTTTGGCAGGCTGAGCGAATGTCCTGAATGGTTGTATGAAGGTCATTCAGGTCTGATGTGATTGTCCTCTGGTTGACTACAGACAGATGTGTGTGTGCAAAACAGGAACATAGAGGGAAAGGAAAAAATGAATAGTTAAAATACAGTATGTGACAAATAAGACATCTCGAATCATTTCTCTGTATAATTTACAATATATCTATGATTTGGGTCAAAGTGCAAATTTAATCTATGCATCTACCTTTGGCTGCAGGAGAAACCGTGGAAAGATCTTTGGAAAAATCCAACACGTCAGGAAAGTGTTGACATAGTGACTTCACCAGAATATGCAGAAATGTTGACTTTCCATCTACCGTTTTAGTTGCGCTCAGCTACAGAGGACACAATTTTTAACTACAGCAGACTGATATGAAGAAATAAAAAAAAAGAATGGAACACTTGGTCATATTTTACATATAAAATGGTGCACGATCTACCTCTGTAAGGAAGTTGATCTTGAAGCCAGTAGTCTTGCCGATTTGAGGCTGGGTGTTATTCAAGTAGTTTCCCATCGCCAACACAAACTAAACAAAGACAGACCGCAGCAGCCACAGCTGTAGTTCTTTCAAACTATTTATGTTTGAACATATATATATACACACACACATGTAGCACTTTTTGAGTTCTCATTTGTATGTATGGATGCATTTTTTGTTCTTGTAGTTCACTCTGATTTTAATATACTTGTCTGAAGAGTCAGCTACCTCTAGTATCTTAGCCAGCTTCTTGCTGGTCCTGAGCTCTATGGAGGCCTTGTAGATACAATCATAGGCTGCCTTCAGCTCCTCTGTCTTCTCCTGTAGAGAACCCTTGAAGAGGAGGCTCTGCAGGCGCATCTTGTATTCTGGTACCGATATCATCTGATAGACAACACACACACAACAACAAAGCAAAAAGTGAGTCATGATGCAAAAATCAACGCACCCATCCACTCCTGTCAGGACTGTACCTGCAACACAAACTGGTCAGGCTCACTGAGCTTGCTGCAGTCTTGTCTGTACTCTTCATACTTTTTGACCTCCTCAGCATCGGGGGCATACAGCAGCAGCTGTTTGATGTGAGCTGGCTCCAGTCTATCAGTGGCCATGTTCATCAGCACCTGACGCAGCTCCCCAGGAGACAGCTTCAGGTGGGCTATCAGGATGGCTAGCGGTTAAAAACAAAGGTAAAAAAAATGTTTTAGCAAACTTGTATTTGCTAATTATCTCTAAACACAAAACACAGCTGAGGCATGCTGGAATTGTGTTACTTTTGCCAGAATTTCATAATAAAATAAAGTATTGGATAAACGGGAATTCTGACTTGATAACGGTGCTTGGTGAAAGAATTTTTTAAATTCATATTTGGGGCTTTTTTTTTTTTTATATATATATATATGGGGTATCATGACTATGGGTAGTTGTTAAGATTCACAAAAAAATAAATAAATCAACATGCCCAGCTGGTAGTGACACTGCAGAGGTCATGCAATCACCACAGTTTTATGTGGCTCCCAGACAATACAACTCAAATGTCAGTACAAAATTTGGCCCCAATCCAGCACATAGCTAAGATACTTCACTAAACAGAGACTTTGACCTGCTTAGTGGAGATAGAGGAAAGGTTAGAGAATCACCAAAGTCAACAGAATTCTCTGGGGGCCATAAATGCCTGAAAGAAATGTCAGAAATCTATCAAGTAGTTTGAGATCATTTAATCTGGATGTCTACTAATGAAGTCAAAAAACGTGTGTGTATAGCAATACACAATGTCATTTTAGACTTACAAGCATTGTAGGCCTTCTTATGGGACAGAATTTCTATCACATCTTTCTTCTTGAAGGCCTCTAGCTGGGAGGATGGCTCTGGAGCAGGTGCTAAAATGAGACCAGTGTTGGCAAAATGAAAAATGTTACGGAGATAACACAATGGATATACACGTAGTGCACATGCAGCTATGCATACAGCCAGCGATACTCACTGGAACTCTTCTGTGTCCCAAAGTGCAGCTCCAGATCCAGATACTTCACCATGTCATGCAGTTTATCATAGTCAGAATCTGCTCCCAACTACCAAAGACATGCAGGAACGGCACCATGTAAATTATATGGTGTTATAGATGATTTTCAAATTAGAATTCTAAATTTGAAGCGTGTTTCGGTCTGTGGCCTTAGCTCCACGTCTGGACACCACACAACTCACCTGTCCCCAAATTGTTCCCTCTGAATTTTCCACCTGCTCCCAGCGCAGCCTCTTCACACTCATGTGGTGGGAGTCCATCCTCGACAGAGTGGGCCTTGGCAATGGTGGAGGGGAGCAGGGTGGGGGCAGGGGTGGAGGAGGAGGGGGCTCTAGGTACTCTGAGGGATCAGACAAAGATTGGGAGAGAGACTGGGGCTGATTCTGGCCATGTGGCTGTTTATGGTAGGATGACTGGGGTTGTGGCTGGTGCTGGGACTGCAACAGGTGATGTGAGGGCTGGGACTGAGGACGTGCAGTTTGGGTAGAGGACTGGACTTGATGCTGTAACTGGTGGTGTTGGGGCAGAGGCTGGAAAGTGGAGAGGGTGGGCTGGTGCGTCTGGAGGGGCTGAAAGGTGGAGAGAAGGGGCTGGGGCTTGTGGGGCTGCTGGGGAGGGTGGATGACATGAATCTGGTGTTGGTAGTCCTGCAGAGGAGGCTGTGGTGTCATGTGGTGGATGTGATGGATCTGAGGTGTGCTGGAGTGGCGGTGGGTTTGCTGGATAGAGTGGGGTCTCTGGGGAGATGGTTTGGTGGGCTGTGGGTGATGGATCTGCTGCTCTTGATGTCTCACTTGAGGTGACACTTGGGTTTGAAGATGCTCTTTAAGACTTCTGTGGCTCTGATGGGAGTGGCTGTCCCGGTTTTGCTGAACTGAAAGGGAGGCAGGCTCCTGCTGTGCTTGATGCAGAAGCTCTGTGGAGGAGTGGTGTGCCTGAGGTTTGTGCATTTGATGGAGCAGCTCAGTGGATGAATGGTGCGGTTGACCCCGTTGCATCTGGTGAGCTTGATGGAGAAGTTCTGTTGACGAGTGGTGAGGCTTTATTTGCTGCATTTCGTGAGCTTGGTGTAAAAGGTCTGTTGAAGAATGATGGGCCTTGGATTTTTGTATTTGATTAAGCATTTCTGAAGATGAGTAGTGGGAACATACTTGTTGCATCTGCTGGAGCATCTCAGCGGATGAGCGGTGGGCCTGGGATTGCTGCATCTGCTGGAGCATCTCAGCAGATGAGCGGTGGGCCTGGGATTGCTGCATCTGCTGGAGCATCTCAGCGGATGAGCGGTGGGCCTGGGATTGCTGCATCTGCTGGAGCATCTCAGCGGTGGAGCATCTCAGCGGTGCATCTGCTGGAGCATCTCAGCGGATGAGCGGTGGACCTGGGATTGCTGCAACCGGTGGAGCATTTCGGCAGAGGAATGATGGTCTGGGGCTTGGTGCCTGTGGTGGAGCATCTCTGCTGAAGAATGGTGGGGCTGAGGTCTCAAGCCCTGACGGCTTTGATAGATGCCTTCAGCATACGCACCTTGTTGGCTAGGATGGGATGTGGGTTGGGGTGATGGTTGGTGTGGAGGTGGGGCTGAGCGAGACAGCCGTCGGTGATGATGACTCTGGTGGGCCTGTTGCTGCTGTGCTTGGTGCATCACATAGAGAGGATGGTTGTGGTGATAGATGGAGTCTGAAGAAGGGAGTGGGGGTAAGGACTGGTGCATCTGCTGAAGAGGAAGTGCTGAGTGTACTTTCTGCTGTGTTGGCTGTGTTGGCATCGAATGGTGGCTCTGGTAGATCTGGTGCATCCGTTCTTGATACACCTGTTGCTCTGCATAGGCTTGAAGCTCCTCATAGGCTTGCAGATCCTCAAATGCATTTTGCTCATTGTATGCTTGACGCTGTTCATATGGTTTTTGTTCCTGGTAGGTCTGACGCTGTTCGTACTCTTGTCTTTCTTTGTAAGCTTGTTGCTCTTGGTACATTTGTTGCTCTTCAAAAGTTTTTTGCTCCTCATAGGCCTGTCTCTCTTTGACAAGTTTCTCATGATAGGCCTGTTGTTCCTGGAAGGCCTGCTGCTGCTCTTGGAACAGTTGCTGTTCTTCCGAGACTTTCTGCTCTTCATATGCCTGCCTCTCTTTATATGCCTGTTGCTCCTCACTGGATTGTCTTTCCTGGTAGACTTGCTTTTCTTGGTAGGCTTTTAGCTCTTCTATGTTAGCACGGACCTGGAGGTCCTCTCTCGTAGGCAGCACTTTATGTAAAGAGTGGCGTTTAGGTGGTGGATTGTTGCGGGGTGGAGGTGGGGGAGGGGGACCAGATTTCCGTCGGACAGGCACATAGGATCTTGGGGAGTGTTCAGGGGAGTAGCTAAGCTGTTGCTGCTGTTGGCTCTGAGGCTGAGCTTGTGCGGGTGCTGGAGGGGGAGGAGGTGGGTCATTGAACTGAACAGGTGGGGGTGGAGGAGGGGTCATGGGGGGAGGAGGGATGTGGTCAGAGGAAGAGGAGTAGGTGAGGGAGGAGGCATTCTCTTCTCCACTGCTGCTTTGAAGATCACTTGGGCTGCTCAGCTCTGGGGCCACAAATCCTCCATTTTCTTCTTCGTCCACCCCCAGCTCTTCTTCATTATCCTCATCCTCCTCATCTGGGAAGCCCATCTGCACAACATCCTGGCATTAACACCAATTACACTTTATTAGCCCATTCATCTCAGAAATGAATTTTGAAATTCTTTTGGTAAATGATAAATATAAAATTAAGTGACTGCTACCGGTGATTTTTTTTTAATTCAAACTCAAATCCTTAAAGTACATATTGGTGGCTGGACTCATTTCACAGGATCTACTTGTGGTATTTCTCTACAAAAAGCTGAGCAAACATGGTTAAATACTTAAAATCTTTTGTCTATTTAGAATCTCTCATTGAGCAGCTTGACAAATGATATGCCACCACTCGCTGAGGGAAACAAACACTGCATGACACTTTACAGAGGAAGAGATCTGTTGTATTTCTTCTTCTGTGAAGCTGTTAGTACCACAGTTTTGCACAAAACATTCTTTTCTAAATGCTGTTTTGATCTAAACCTGAGGTTTTACTTTGTCCTTAACTTTACAGAAAAGTATGTGACATGCCCATCTTCTGTGTTTGTGTGTCTTGGGGTCTGCCCTATTTTACATCAGTGACTTGTGACTGTATATGTAGGTAGGATGACAAAGAATAGGCTTTATTTGGAAAACTAATTTGGTGTATAAAACTTTTGGGTATCAAACGTTTTCTCATTTTAAGTGATGTTTGCACAAGTAAAAGTTAGGTTACCATTTGATCCCTGCTAAAAATTCCAAATATTAAATAATTCTACATATTATATATCATCAGGATATCTGTTAAAAAAATTGTGCTGCTGCTGGAGGGGGAGGAGGTGGGTCATTGAACTGAACAGGTGGGGGTGGAGGAGGGGTCATGGGGGGAGGAGGGATGTGGTCAGAGGAAGAGGAGTAGGTGAGGGAGGAGGCATTCTCTTCTCCACTGCTGCTTTGAAGATCACTTGGGCTGCTCAGCTCTGGGGCCACAAATCCTCCATTTTCTTCTTCGTCCACCCCCAGCTCTTCTTCATTATCCTCATCCTCCTCATCTGGGAAGCCCATCTGCACAACATCCTGGCATTAACACCAATTACACTTTATTAGCCCATTCATCTCAGAAATGAATTTTGAAATTCTTTTGGTGCATGATAAATATAAAATTAAGTGACTGCTACCGGTGATTTTTTTTTAATTCAAACTCAAATCCTTAAAGTACATATTGGTGGCTGGACTCATTTCACAGGATCTACTTGTGGTATTTCTCTACAAAAAGCTGAGCAAACATGGTTAAATACTTAAAATCTTTTGTCTATTTAGAATCTCTCATTGAGCAGCTTGACAAATGATATGCCACCACTCGCTGAGGGAAACAAACACTGCATGACACTTTACAGAGGAAGAGATCTGTTGTATTTCTTCTTCTGTGAAGCTGTTAGTACCACAGTTTTGCACAAAACATTCTTTTCTAAATGCTGTTTTGATCTAAACCTGAGGTTTTACTTTGTCCTTAACTTTACAGAAAAGTATGTGACATGCCCATCTTCTGTGTTTGTGTGTCTTGGGGTCTGCCCTATTTTACATCAGTGACTTGTGACTGTATATGTAGGTAGGATGACAAAGAATAGGCTTTATTTGGAAAACTAATTTGGTGTATAAAACTTTTGGGTATCAAACGTTTTCTCATTTTAAGTGATGTTTGCACAAGTAAAAGTTAGGTTACCATTTGATCCCTGCTAAAAATTCCAAATATTAAATAATTCTACATATTATATATCATCAGGATATCTGTTAAAAAAATTCCTTCTTTACTGGTGAAGAACTGACATAACTCTACCTCTTCATAGTCATTCTCAGGAGTCAGGAAATCATCCATGATGGCCACCCTCTGTCCCAGCTGCTCACTCAGTGCATCCAAAAAGCGATCTGTGTCTTCTGAGCGTGGTGGTTTGGAAAAAGTGTAACGTCGTTTGCTGAGGTATTGGGCTGGAGGGCTAGATGGGTAGTCAGGAGGGTCTGGAGGTGAGGGTGGGGGGCTGTCCAAGCTGATATAGGGGTTGGACTCCCCACTGGTCTGGCTTGTCAGCCCTGGTGGGTAGAACTGAGCTGAAGGGGGGCTGGGGAGAGGCTCTGTCCAAGATGTAGGTGGGCCTTTATGGCTACCTGAGATAAGGCAGAGACATATGCAGTGATAAAAGCAGCATGTTAGGTACAAAGTCTCACAGAAACATCTCTCTACTGACTTTCAGAGAATGAATAAAACAAAAAAGCAATGAAACTATCTGAGAGAGCTCAGCATTTGGAAAAATGTTCAACACATAATCAATCTGAACATGTGTCGCGGAGAAACCAAACATCACAGAAAACACATTTTTGATTAGAGGGGATCTTTAACTGTGTTTTCAAATTTCACTTCATCACTGTATCTATGAGGGTAAGTGCATCGGAACTACATTAGACTTAAGAAGTAAGCCTACTTTGCACCTAAAGTATCTGTAACATGAGAGCGTGGGCATTTGAGCTGCAGATTCAGCATGAAGATGTTTCCGTCTTACCCTCATGAGTGCACTTTGCATCACTGACAGGAATGTGTCTGTAGTGCAAGGAAGACAAGCCGCTGACAGGCCAAATCAGAGCAAAAATGGCAACTTGTAGTGCCTTAGATTTGTGTTAGTGTCTATTTAGATTTGTGTTATTGCTTATCTACTTTATATTTCATTTGTATTTTTGTGGCATTCATGTGGATGGCAAAGTAAGAATTTCATTGTAAAGGGGAAACACGTTTCCTAACTGTGCATATGACAAATAAACACTTTGACCTTTGACTTGAAACAAAAGTGAAGCTCTAACCCAGCACATGTCCAATCAAACAAAACATACTAATCATAATTACCACCCCGAAAAAAAAGCATTGAAAGCAGAGGGTTTTTCAAAACTGTGTTTTGCTCTATACAGCTTGAAATTACAAAGCCCTTGTTAATGCAGAAACCAAGAATTCAGAGTTGAGTCCGAAATGGGTTGGCTACCTGAGGATTTTTCACTCTTGCTCTGAAGCATTTTAAAACATTGTTATCCTCCTTTTTTTTTACACTATTCAGCTAAATCAAATAGACTCATACAATAATTTCATACAGTCTGTCAGTTGAATTTATACTTTTGGCTACCTGTGTTAGCATGTATTGTAGGGGTGGAGGTGCATGAAGCAGGTTCCAGATCCAACAAACTCTCAGGGGCAGGAGGGGGACGACTCTTCAGAGACTTGGACCTCTTGGCTGAATACATGTTCTCCAGTTCAGCATACACTGCTGACAGCTTGTATGGTGGAAACATACGGAGAGACCAGATGACTATGAATCTTACTTTAATATTTACTGCATCTTTCCGATCAAGACGGGCCTTGTTACATACATTGGCAAGATTATTAGGAGTCTCAGGAAGGGAGGTGCCATCTCCTGACTGTCTCTCTCCTGGGACCAGCCTCATCCCTGTCTCCAGCGCTGGCTCTACACGGAGGCCTATGGTAATACACCCATTAGAATGACTGACAGTAAATAGAGTCAAGGTAGTTGAGTCAGCTAACTGAAGCCGAGTGTTGGAACGCTCAGCAGATTTCTTTCTGACACCAGAGGACTAATTTAGCAGCAGGATTTTGCTAAGATATTAGAGTTAAAGTTGGGGTTCAGCTGATTTGAGGCTGAGAATCAGCTCCAGGTTGAATAACTCAAGTTAGCTTTGAGTAAATGACTGCAGAGTCTGGTATTAGACCAGGTTTCCAGCGTTAACAACCATTTTGCTTTCATGGGACTATGCCAAAGTATGATTCAATAAAACATACAATATGAACAGATGTTAGCTATACTAGTGATGTAAAAAGGGTGAAAGCTGGAAACAAAATGCTAAACCGGTTTTAAGAGCTAACAAAAAAATCCAGCTGGGATTAAACAGTTTATGACACAAAAGATAATGTGGGCAATAGAGAAAACAGTGTTAATATGAATCAAAAGGTGTCATGGTGTAGTGTTGCTGCTGCAAATGATGAAAACAATAAGCAAGACAATGAAGACCTGTACCCATGCCCAAGTGTGTGCCAATGACCAAATCGTCAGAGCTACGTCCCCTCACACTACTCCTGTATGTGGTCCCCGTTACCCTCATGGAGCTGCTACGGCGATGGGGTTCAGGGGCAACCTCAGGCTCTGGAGGAGGGGGAGGTGGTGGTGGTGGGACTGGAGCACACACACACACACACACACATATATATTGACAATGCAGAGAAAGAGGCAAAGGTATATGAAAAGCTGTAGCACCTGAGATGATCGTGCTTAACTGAACCAGTGAATATATTAAAAATATCATGATAGTGTCCATCACACACACAAACCCCTTTTCATGCATACACGTATATACTTCAAAACCCACATATACCAACATTTAAAAAGTGTGCACACACCTGGTACTTTGTATCCAAGAAAGCGTGAGATCTTGCTCTGGCAGTGCTCTTGCTCCTCATATGTCAGCAGCTGGTAAACAAACTGCCAGATCACCTGTTTGGCTGGAGTGTCCAGCACCGGAAACACATCCACGATCAGTGTGTCAACATTCCTGTTGCCATGGAAACACAATCAGAGGTCAAAGTTAAGCCCACAAATTAGGCCACCCATGTATGGAGACATAAAACTAAGGGGGGACTTCACCAATTTTACACAAGGTGTTTACTCATCATAATGAGTAGCCTACTGCCGAGTCAGTGAACACAGTTGTATAATGCAAAACCAGTTTTGTCCCCCTCCCTTCCTACTTGTTTTCACATTACTCCATATTCATCTTTTGACTCCCTCCATCTCACCCCACTTCCTCCTCATTCTATGCCAATCTTCCTCTCTGCACCCTGCTCACCTGTGCTGGAAGAAGTTCTCCAAAGCCTTGCAGATGGTGTACCTCTCCTGGATGGTTAGCAGGTGCTCCAGCTGCTGTCCAAAGGTGCGCCCCTGAACCCTGATACTGGGAGGCAGAATCTCTGCCACCCACTGCAGGGAGCTGAGCACGGGGGATCTGCATCGTTCTGTGGGGACACCGCTCCCTGCGAGGTCTTGCTCTGCCAGGGTGAAAGAAGATGCACCTTCCTCCACTACCAAAGTGGGCATGGCACCACTGCCCTGAAGCATGGACACCACCTTCTCATGGGAGGAGGTCCTATCAACATGTATCCATGGAGACACATGCAGACATACATTAGATGCTCGCCATATAATTACATGTACCAAATTGTTCGTTTTGTAGGGGAGGGGGAAGCTGCAACACCCCAAATTAAATGTCTTATGTTATGCTAGCATATAATAATGTCTCTACATTCTCCAGGGAGATTCCTTTTCATGGAAGTTATTTTCAGGAAACTGTTGTTTTTCTGTTAAACTCATTTGAAATGAGATACAGGAGGAATCATATAATGTTTACTGGTAACTTTTTCTCTTTTCTAGCATGTTAGATCTGCTTTAGATGCTGCAAGGCTTTATGTAAAGCTTGGCACACATTTGCAATAGATCTGTCAGGTTAATGAGGGTGAGATTTCAACCTCATGTCCAGTCCATTGAGAAACAGGATGCGGTCTCCTTGTTTTAGACCTGCCTTGTCTGCAGGGCTTCCTGCATAACAGAAAATGTGTAAGAGAAAGAATAGTCTTAGTTGACTATTGCCTCACTCAAAGAAGAGTCAAGCCTTGTAAAGATATTATAAAGTTCTGTTAAATGGAATGTTATTACAGTGTAATAACTAGAAGTACTTTCATACAACTGCAACTCACACACCAAATTGAACAAGCAAATGCATAAACGTATGGAAGTGCACACACATTTTAAACTTACCAGGGACGACAGAGTCGATCCACACCGGAGCATGGCCTCTGAGAGTGAAGCCAAAACTCATGTTGCCCTTGCACACCCGGACTGTCCTTAAGACACAAATTTGAACTTGATTAATAGCAGGTATTCAGAAATGTTCTGCTCTATCTCAAGTAATCGGTAAATGTACACGGTTAATATGTGATCATAGTAAGGTTTAAAATTTTCTACGATAAATTAATGAGGCACAGTGCACAGAGAGTGTACATACAGTAAGTAGGGGTATTAAAGTTCATTCATTAACAAAGCTAATTGGACACAGTGCTCTGTTCAAATGGTAAAATGCAGAGAGACCATTAATGCCATTTAAGTTCTTCTGCCCATTTTCAGACATTTGGACTGGAATAGTCATCCTCTTAGAGATTACCATAGTCAGCAGATGAATATAAATTCACATCCTGCCTGAAAAATCCTACTTAAATTTGGACAGTATATCCCCAGGGAGCTGTACATCATCAACATAAGACAGAACCATAGAAAAAATTATTGGTTTCATGGGGCACTTTATTCCTTCATTGTGAAGAAACGGTCATAGGATGTTTGTAATCCTGTTGTTTACTTGTTTTAAATATTTTAACTCCATAAAAAACTGACAGTTCATAAAGACACAACAGAAAACATCACATCAGATAAAAAGAGCAGAAAAAACAGGCATGACTAATCCAGATAGGTTTATGTTCCCACTGACTTTACCACTGATGGATCTAGCATTTATCATTTCACTCCTACACATCTCAGTTCACATAAATTACATGCTTACACAAAAAGACCTGTGACAGCAGTTCTCATGTGGAGTGGTTATAAATTTGATCAGACATATGTGCAGAGAAAATATGATTTAAAGAAAGAGTTGCTGATGGGAAATAAAAACCGACTTCTGATGGTAGAAGGCAAAACCACAGCAGATCTAAGAGGCAAGCATGAACAGAGAATCTGCGACACCACAAATCACTGGGTTACGCTGCAACATGACACTTAGTACATACCTGCAGTTGGTAGTTGTGCCACCGGAGTGGCCGGCTATGAGTGAAGTGGTTTTGCGCATGCCACGGGCAGGGGGAACCATGCCCTCTTCTGTGTGGGTGCGTGGCACTGAGCTGGCACGGGTGGAGACCAGAAGGCGCTCGGGGTGATCCTCACTACGGCTGCGGCGAAGGCGATTACGGCTAGGGTCACTGAAGCTCCGCCCCTTGAGCCGGCTCATAAGGCTCTGGGAAACAACCTCGTCAAAACGCTCCCGGTGCTTCTTGGGAATGAAGATCCTGGCAAACATTGTGGAATCAGAGACAAACTAAGACTGAACAGAAAAACAGAGGTATAGCAGCTTCCAGTTCAGCTTCTCGTGCGTGCTGTCTCTGAGAACACCATGTATGTTTTTCTACATAAGAGCAATATAATGACAAAACACACAACAAGAAAGAATCACAAACTAGCTTTTCAAGCCAAAACCTCCACAAAATCCAAGACGCACTATCCTGATCTCTCAAAGTATATCATCTTCCAAAGTATCCAAAAAAACAGAGGGATTCTTGTCCTGAATAAGTATTGTTGCAGCTGCAGGATTCACCCAACTGGTGTAAAAATAGTTCAATTCATATCGTCTCATGGGAGGGCTGAGGCAGGTAGAAGGAACTGGTCCAACATCAGTGTGTGTGTGTGTGAGAATGACAGAAATAAGAGATGAGCTTTGTTGTGTGGTCCCGTCACATTAGCAGCTGCAGATAAGAGTGTTCAGTACCAGTGACAACTCTTAGATTATATGCAAAAAGGAGAAAGCACAGCGCCAGAGCCACCTCTGGGAGACAGTGCTCCACTCCCTCTAGTAGTGTTTTCTCCTCCCTTCATCAACTCCCAATGCCGTTTCCTTCTTAAAGGAGAAAATCTGCTACATGCAGTTTACATTTGGCCAATTACCTGTGAGAACAAGAAAATAGATAACTAAACAACAATATTGAAAAAAATTTGCCAGTAACAGTTTTCAAAAGTGTTTTTCCTTTAAATGTAGGATGCCAACACTCTTCTTTCATCATTGGTTCTGCACACCCATACACCAGCAACTCTCCATCTTGCACCCATATACGCACACACATTTGTCCCCTCTCTTTTGCATAACTTCCCTCCCACCTCAACACAAGTCCCTCTCTCTCTCTCTCTGTCTTCAACATGAACCTCCTGGGTACTTCCAGAATGTAGAAGAGAAGGGAGTGCTTTGTTTTTAAGAGTGCACCAGTTCCAGTGTGAATCTACATACACAAATTCAAAGACCACTGCTGAGAATAAGGCTCAGCAGTGCAGATGGGTTTTCAAAGCTGTCACAGTCCCTAAATATGGTAACACTGTATGAATGCAAGAATTGGATTATTCTCAGTTCTGTAGGTTATAAAAACACAGTTTGGGGTTTGAATTAAGGGTGATGTATAAGTTGAGCTGCCTGCACACTGGTATCACGATCCAAAGTTGAGGGATGCCAATAGATAAGCCCCCGCTGAAGATTTCTTACCCAGACAAAATTGTAACTCACTAAAATACACAGGTTTGTGCAAACCTGCACAAACACCAAAAAAACATGCCTGTAATTACAGCTATCCCCCCATAACTCCACACTGACTCTGAACATTTGTGTTAAACCACTGCCGACTAATCACAGCTGACAGCCTCTGTTGATCAGCATAGAGAATTGAATACAGTCACCATTTCAGTAATGTTAGCTACATTTCAGACAAGTCTGATGTGAAACATTGTGGATAAGGCAACTGTTTTTTGTTTATCATCAGAGATGAACAACAACTGTCCACTTCAGCATTAAATGGATTTAGATTTCTGGCTAGTTATCAGCTGCATTTGATCAAACAAAGAGAATTACACTTGCATCCTATTTGTGACAGTATATCACAAGTGATGATTTAAGCTATGTTCTTGCACACCATAAAGTCTTTTTGCAGGTGTGTAGGATCAAATAATCAGCGCTGTAGACAAGGAAACAAAAAGATCCTGCACAGCGCCCATCACTTGTACTCACCGAGTACAAGAGGTTTTTACTGCAGTATAATCACAGAACAGATGTGATGCTATTTGGTCCAGAGGTCAAAGGCAAAAAAAAAAAAAAAGATGGTGCCTCTTGACTCATTATCTCTTAAAATTATTGATAAGGGTTATACAGCAAGATCAGCCGTGGGAGCCTGAAGGGGGAAAAGGTGCTTCTGTGTGTGTGGACGTGTCAGTACAACACTGGTCACCCAGGGTTTTTATCATTGATGGGTTGCCTTCTCTCACAGTACTATTTCATGTGCTTACTGTGAAGACGTCCAAAAACAATAAAAGCCAAGGGATATAGTTTATGTAGGCGACAGTGATCAAGTGTTCATGCAGTGAAAAGTCAGCACTTCCCCTGAGGACTTCCAATGTGCTGCACCCGGCTGCTCTGTATCGCTATGTAAAGGGTTTCACTAGCAAACAGAGATCTAAGGTGATTATAGAGACATTTCACAACTACAATAGAAAAAGAGAGGATTGGTCTGTAAAACGAGCTGACAAAAAGACAGAAGGAGTGACAAAGAGAGAAGTGGAGAACTAGAGCGCTTTCTAGGCCAGGGCCATGTAACTATTGGGAATGAAGCTAGATAGTCTACACTTACAAACTATGTAGGCCACACAACTTTCCCAAACACTTGTACATTATGACAGCTGCTCAGACAAATGGCAGATATGGAAAACAAAACAGAATGGGGCCATTTATTGTTTTATAACAGTTTCTAAGTCTATTACTTTATATGAGCTCTTGATTTCCATTCCCTTCACCTCCAACAACTCTCCAGCTTCTTCTCACTGTACTCTCACTTTATGACGCAAGCGAAAGAAAATTCCACTTGTGAAATCTTGTAACCCGGCCAAAACCAGTGAGCAAAAACTTCACGACCTCCTCCAGTGAAGTTGGATGTAGGCCTTGGGATGCCCTCAATAATAAGGAGGGCGAGAAGGATCTATAGTTAGACCTGAAGGATCAAGGACACAGCACACAAAGGGATAAATGACAACTGCACTCATTGCAGGAACCATAATTATCATCAGACCCACTTCTGATCAGCCAATATGATAGATGGGCCAAGAATGAATTTGCAAACACAGAGCATAGCTTCAGACACAGTAATAAAATGTCTCAGAAACAAGATCATAAGAATTATCAGTAGGAGTAGAGTAGAGCTGAATTAGAATCTACAGTTTGTTCATTGTGTTCTAGTCAAATTTAGGGACTGCAAGGATGATCATATGGAAAATAATAATCAGTGCAAGCCTTGATACCAAACACACAGAGCAGTTACACAATATTTCAGCAACAAATCAGCGCAAACACAATGCACAATCAACACTGCTGAGACCAAAGGAAAAGTGCCCTACCGAAAGTGTCTGGCAAGGCTCCTATCCCTTCCCATGGCTCTTTAGGACTTTGAGGAAGTGCCTGAGCTCAGATAAGCAATGCAGATGCCTCAGTGAGTCCCCATCTAGTTTGAACAAGCAACTCTCCTGGACATGAGGAAGGAAGAAGCAATATGAGGACTAGGAAGGTGTCCTGAATCTCAAAAGCACTTGCTGCAGACCCACAAAGCAGCCAGATGAAGAAAAAGTGATGAGTGAGCAAGAGGGAGAGAACTATAAGAGTGGCTGTGGTTTACATCCCTCCATACCTCCAAAACATCCTCATTATAAGCTGTTTTCCAATGTCATATTTAGAGCTACACTCTTCCTTCGTTCCCATCTTATATCCCCTTCTTTTGCAGGTACCAAAGAAATAAGGATCAAGGCCATCTCAGGGGTAGTCTTCTTGGTCACAGATATGATAGTCCGCACAGTATTCCAAAGATTGTCCTTGGGACAGAGTCATCCATCATTTGGCAGTCAGAGGTAGTGAGTGACAAATCTCTTCAGAGGAAGGAGGAAAGAACAGAGGAGGGAGAGAGGAGAGAGGAGAGCCCCAGTGGAATTTTATAGTCAGGTCAGCACAATGACTGAGTGTGCAAGACAAAATAATGTGAATTTTTGCATGACACATCCTCAGCACAATACTGATAACTGTCATAGCATCCATCCAAATCCCGGCAAACACTTCCAGCCCTGAAGAACTTTGCTTATTCATAAAACATGTGTTTTATGAAGACAGAAAAACACTGGCAGTCAAACACTAAAAGAAGAAAAAATACACCTGGGTTAGGAAGACACCAGTTTCATTAATTCACAGCTCTGAGGTCTGTATACAGATAGAGTACAGTACCAAACAAATGCCTACAGTTCACTATAAATACATTCAATTACCACATCACTGTAGAACTACAGAAACAAAAAAAAGCTAAATGGTGTTCCAAGACTGTCTGTAATGACACTCCAGATACATAGTCCTTTGCATAATTTTCAAGTGTTCAAGCACTCTCTAACCCCTGGGTTTTAAATTCGTGCATAAAAAACGACATTTGCAAGTGCGTCAGAAACCTAAGAGAGAATTTATTAAAAGAAGTAGGCTCCTTAAAAATAGAACACATCCTGTGGGAGGCTGAGGCAAATCGGCGAGGGGACATAGGCAGACTGAACAGAGTGGCCCAGCTGGTCAAGTCTTATATAGTGAACAGAAGAAGTAATTTCTGTTAGCACACCTCACAACCTCTGATACACAATCTGTAATTAACAGACAGAGGTAGAGTGAGTGGAGAGTATGTGTATACAAGTCTGAAACCTGTTTACACACTCATATTATGAGGGACTCATTGTATTTTAGAATGACTTGGTTTAAGGTTAGGTTCAGGTCAAGTTAGGGCTAAGATTAGGGTTAGGGCTAAGATGAAGCAAGTAGTGGTTATGGTTAAGGGGTAAAGTAAGTCTTCAGGAAATGAATGCAAGTCAGTGTAAAGTTCCCATGAGAAATAAAAACAAATGTGTGTTTGTGTGACCATCACAGGAAGTGACAGTGACTGAGGTGCAAAAAGAGAAACTGACATGCTGCGAAACGGAAATAGTGGGAGGTCTGTTCGGAGGTCAGCGGTGAACCGACTGACCATCAGATCAACATTGTGCTAGCATAGCTAAAAGCAGCCTTGAAAATCTTGAGTATTTGTCCAGACATCTCATTGCTGCAGCAACCATTTCCACCTACACAACCTCGAGGCATGGCTCATGAACAAACTCATCAATGCTCTTAACACAGAGATATTATAAAGGTGGAATATAATTAATATTTTAGCCCTTTCCAGGCAATACAAATCCAACAATACCCCGCAAGAGTTGCACAGCCTAATTGGTGTAAGAGAACAATGTAGCACAAAATTACAGGACAAACAGCAGCGATAATCACAAAAACAATTACGCAGCAGGAAGCGATAGAAAGAAAAAATTGCATATTAAAAGGCTTTTAAAGTCACCACATACTGTATCTGAACTATACACATCAGGATGGAATTTTGGGTAACTGCAGCTATCTGAAGATATAGTTCGATTACACATCTAGGTCCTGATACAGACTCTTACTTGGAGAGATACTGTACATTATCACTGGTTAAAGGTGAGGAAAATAGATCTCAGCTCTCTATGGATAAAGCAAATACATAATTAATGGGATTTTGGTGCAAAACAAACGTTGCTAAGCATTTTAAAGGCAGCTTTCTAAGAAAGGAAATGTGCTGTCATGGCTGTGATGCAGACAGCTGTGTCGGAGAAAACTGAAACGGCTGGACAGCAGTTTTTTTAGATGGAGAGAGAATAGGTTACTCACCAAAAACGAGCCTCTGGAAAAACAAAACACTAATTGACTGTTTAAAAAAATAAATAAATAAAAAAAACTGCTACTGCAAATTTTTTTTTACCTGCACCACTCACTGCTTACTTCCTGACCAATCATGGACGGTCACATAAGACACCCAACTTGATCATCAGTAACATGCTACAACACAGAAAATCTGCACATATCAAAATGTCACATTGTTTTCGTGTACTCACCTGAGGCAGCAGTTCATAATTTTTCCAACTATAAAACTTCAGAGTCAGGGCTGTGTGCATGGAGTCTAAGCATCTGATTGTTTTTGTTTGTTTTGTTTTCTTATGGGTGCATTTCTCATCCACCAGGAGTAAACTGGCTGTAGCAGCTAACAGCTGCATGCAGAGGAAAGAATAAAGAGCATCCAGTGACACACACACCACAAAATAAATGATTAAATAAAATAAAAAAATGGTGCATGTATCAAAGAATGCATCACAGTGTGGGATGGGAAAGAAAGGAACCAACTGAGAGAACGTCAGTGTGAGAGCAAGTGAGAGGAAAGGATTGGGGGTGGGGGCTGACAAAAAAAAAAAAAAAATCTCAAGTGTGTACAGAGCTATTTCGTATTGGGTTTTGATTATCTGATCAATGCTGAGGACAAAGAAAGGCAATATATTTTTAACCATACCACTGTGCACAGTCTCTGAGAGGGAAGAAACAAGGTAACATTCAAGGATCCAAGGGCAGCTGTCAGTGTTTGCCATCAGATCACAGTTAATCACGTGTGCTTTTGATCTGTGCTGTCTCACTGTAGTCCTGTTCTTATGTAAGACTGTTCTATAGTGAATCCCACAGCTAAACTCTCTATATGTGATGCAATGGACATTAGTACTTCCTAGTGTATGTTGTCAAAAACTTTGATTTTCAGAAAATTGACAACAAAACCAGGGGCATAAGTGTCTTATGGATCTCACTTAGCCTTGTCAAATATTTGTTTCCTCACTCAGGTAAACAGAATCGACTATGGATGAGTGATTGTATTGTATTGTCTTGCCACTGGACTGAGACTCACTTGGCCAGTTTTTGGACATTATGTATTTCAAAGAATCTTAATCATTTATTGAGACACACAGTTTGGATTGGTTGCATCATCTTACAAGCCTGTAAATGGTCCGTTGTTTCATTGTTTTACAGTTAAATGTTGCAGAAATCCAGTCATTTACTGCAACTTCCCCTACAAATAAGCTACTCCTCATCAGTACATTCCTCTTATCCCCTTATTTTTCTTGTTGTACTGCAGAAAAATCTCTTTTTTCTTTAAGTGTAGGGGAAAAGGTGATATAAACTGTTTTGGGAAATCCCATTATTTTTGATAAGGCCTCTAATTGCTACTTGAGCAGGACTAAATTACTGGTTAGTAATTAAAGCCAGACTCTTTACAAAACACACACAACATGCACAGAGATGTGTTTGAGCTGTATGTCTGTCTCTGAATGCATATCTGAAGAGCTGAGAGGCTACCTGACGCTGTCAATCAGCTGTTGATGCTCTTCCGTGATCAGGATATCAGGCAGGGCCTCAGCCAGACTCTCCACATCCCTCTCAGCAGCATACTGCTTCAGCACTTCAAAGAGTTGTTCCTTCACATCTGGCTCCTCTCCCAGTACTTCCTCCACCTGATGGATAAATAAATGCACAGAAATTAATTATTGTACTCAACTACACTAGAGAACAAAACAAGCAAATAAACACAAGAAACTATCATATTTCACTCCCACCTTCTTATTGAACTCCATGGCCTTATGGGCACGACTCTCCCGGACACTGTCCCCGCTCTGTGACAGCACTCTCATGCTGCTGCTCAGCCGCTTGGGCCTCCGGGCCATACTAAGCACGCCCAGACGCAGAGGTCGACCCTGAGCTGCTTTGATCATGACCGCTGCTGTTTCGTGATGCTTCACTGGGATACCATTGACCTCCATGACGTAGTCCCCGGCCTTGAGGCCACTGCGACCAGCTGGACCATTGGGCACACAGTCCTCTACCATCAGAGGGCTGTCTCCCACAATAGTGAAGCCAAAACGACCATCGGGGCCTGGGGTGATGTCAACCTGAACAAGGGAAACAGCTTGAATTCAGTGTTTTTTTTTAAGTGGGGTTGCCACCATTTCAAAACACAAAATATGGATTTAAAGGCATCAGCTGACCTGTTCGATCCGAGACACCACTCCAATGCTGGGCGGTACTGTCTTGAGAGTCTGTGCCAGAGCAATCAGTGCTGGCGTGCTGAGGTTGGTGACATCCTGGCCCTCAATGTCCACCACCTGGTCCCCGGGCTGCAGGCCGGCCAGGTAGGCACTACTACCCTCCACCACGGACAGGATGTAGCTGGGTCCAGTGCCACCCAGCCGGAAGCCAAATGCCTCTGGCCAATTCTGATTGGTGGCTGGGAGACCGAGGTCTGGAAGATGGACAAAGATAAAACTTGGAAAGGTTCAAATGAATAGATAATTAGCATGTTTTAGGTCATTATCAAGGCACAAGTTTAGTGCAGGGGGCAGCTAGGTTGTAATATCAGTTTAGGATTTAATGTGCTTCTTTATGAGGTGGTGAAATATGCAACTACATTGGTTTTAATGCTTGTAGATATGCAAGTCATATTAGTATGTGGGAACATTGCTAATCTGGTGCAACCTGCTCATACAGACAAACAGGTTGTGAGCTATAAAAGGGAGGTCAAACCGTCAGCTTGTTTAAATAGGGCACCTCAATGATGGAGCACCCTAGCTGTCACAGCAGGTACATTTAATGGGGCCACAGATGCAAAGACACAGAAGTCGAGCCACAGAATATTTTAGATTGGTTTTCTGTAAGTTGAATGACAGAAGGAAAAAAGAAAAAGAGATTGAAGGAAATTATTTCTGACTGTATCTAGCCCACATGTTGAACAGCTGGCCTCCCCTTGGTCACTGGCCTCATTCTACTGCTGCAGAAAAGGTCCCAACAGGATCACTTGACTTCATCTCCACTCATCTACAGCCATCTTTGGATATGTCAAAGACTTTTATAGGACATTTAGTCGATCAGTCCATCCACTTCATGATGCTTTCTGTTAGAGATTACTCTCCTCCATATTCTTAGATCATAAACTGAAAACCTACATCTTCAGCACTTGTACTTGCCCTTACTTTTATTTAATCATATGCTTTTTACACATTTATATTACGAGGCTACATAAAAATACAGCAATACGACAACTTATTTGAATCTGCTTTTTGCATTTATATCAGATTTATATGCAGCAAGGACCTGAAATATAACTAATCTAATCAAGGATATTTGCCTCGAGTCAGTCCCACTTAATCATTAAATGAAAACAAAACCCCATGGTGGAAAATTAGAAGCTAAAACTTTGTAAAATAAGAGCTCATTTATATAAGAACCATAATAAAACAGAAGATTCACAGACAACTGTAGAGTCATGCAAACCACCAGCTGTAAGGGTCTTTTTGCAATTGATCACAGGTAGAGAAAGACTAAACTAGAAAAAAAGTTCACAAACACTGAGAAAATTAAAATCTGTACAAGACTTTCCAAGGAACATAGAAATGTCAGATCTGCTTCAGTGCAGAAAAAGACAAATCAAATGTTACTAGTGCACAGGGCTAAAAATCTAGAGTAAGATGTAATGCTGAAACAGACTTACAGAAATCTTTGGAGGCACTCCGGGTCCCGGACTTGCTCTGACGCAGGGAAAAACGGCCTTTTCTGCTCAGGAAACGCCTCATCCTTGCCCTGCTTGCAGCAGGGCACGTTCCAGCCAGCCTCCCTTCACCCCCCACCCGGGGGTCACTGCAGCCCAAGAGTGCCCTCAGACACCCTGGTGCTGCTCCTCACCTGAGCTCACTGCCTCCAAAAGCCTCTACCCAGCTCGGCAAACGAAGTATACCTACAAGGTCACATCTGTATAGGCCAATACCTCCCCGTTCTCAATCATAGGACCAGCAGTCTGTAGCTGAGGAGGAGGTTGGATGAGAGGGGAAAGCCTCTGAAAGTCAGGCTCTCCATGCCTGGTGAGGTGGTTCAGCCCCAGCCCCAGTCCAAACCCTATGGCTGAGCAACGATCAGGAAACTGGGACACACTGATCATGAAATGGTTCTTTGCAGGAAAAGGTACTGCAAAGCCCCATTTTTCTATAAATACCTTTCCCTCTCTCTCTCTCTCTCCCTCTGTTGCTCATGTGGATGGGGCTGTCTCAAAGGGCTAAGGAGTGACCCAGAAACTGTATTGTGACAGCCAGGGACACTTCTGATTATAGTGTCTAAAACTTCAGTACTGAACACCAGTTAGAGATGCAGCCTGCACACGGGGTCAAGGTTACCTCCAACAAACACAACAGTTTCAGTTAAGCCAGTCAGCTTGCAAATACCAATATAACAATAGCATCACTCATCAGTATAAGCCTAATGTGTGAGGGAGCTGTGGAAACCGTTTTACTTGACAGGCGTGCATGTTTTCAAAGCAGGCGGTATTCCCATGGTGAGATGGCAGATGACATCAATGCTGCAGCCACACAAACCTCTAAAAACAAAGATGAAATAAGAAAGCTACACAGGACAAAAGGCACTGACACTGCATATTAGCATAACTATACAGTAAGAAATAAGATGATATTCAGGTCTTTATCACAAAAATCGAGACACTTTGGAGAAACAACACTTCATAAGCAGATAGAAAACATCCAGATAAACAGGCCACAGTCAACTCTTTATGTAGTCAGCGCTGATTATTCCCACTGAAAATCTGTTTGAGTATCTTCAAAGACTAACTGAAGGCAGGTAAGGCATCAGAGATTGTTGTGCTCAAGTCAGCACGGGTCACAAATGCATGTAAACACGAAACCTATTAGTGTACTAAATGCTAAAAGGTCAGACAATCATTTTGACAAACAAGGTAACAAACATCAGCTGAAGTCAGCTGCTTAAGAAAATAGCTTTTATTTGATGCAAACTCAGCTTGATTAAACAAACCAGCTTTTTACATCTCTGTACTGCTGTATTGGTCATGTGTAAAAGATGCATTATGAATGACCCCGCTCATTACTGAAACACTGTGCAATGGGAGAGTAATAGTGTCTCTGAACAGCTTCAGACAGTGAGGCACACATGCGCAGACTGAAGCTGTCAGTCCCCAAAGGGAGGCAAAAGGTTTAAAAACTTGTGTAGCTGGTCTGGACAGCAGTGAGCGGAAGTACAATGATGCCATTTTAGGTAGTAAAGGAAAGATGGGAAAAGAGATGAGGGCAAAGGCGTGGTCGGTTTGTACCACTTAAAAGGAACTGAATCTGTCCAGGCCTTCAAAATGAATCTAGCTGTTCCTTTAGCTACAATACTGAATGCAGTGATTCATTTCAGTAAACCGATCCAACAACAATCCGGCAGAACTAGTCCTCATGCACGTTTCATTTCTCACACACGTCTTTGTAGATTTTTTTTCTTCTTCTGAGCACTTTGGCCTTTGTTTTGTGACGATCTCACGCGATGTTCACAAATTCTATAACGATGGGCAGCACAGACACAGCTGAGCCATGTGTTACTGTCGATAGTGTCCCATCAGATCATACGACAACAGTCTGAACCTCCACCTCATCTGGGGAGGTGATGACGTATTCCTCCTGCTGCTGCACCACCTGTATTCCCTCCTCCACAGCTTCCTCGGCAGTAATCATGGTAACTGTTCCATCTGCCGTCTCCACCGTGCCCGCCGTGGCCAGCAGCGTGCCATCACTGATGGCGGAGGCCAGTGTCATGGCCACCTGCTCCGTGAGGCTCTCAGGTGTAGCAATGGTGATAGTGTCCCCGCAGTCGGAGATTGATGGGCCCTCCTCGTTCACCGCCACATTACGCACAATGATCTGGTGGCTGCCCGTGCCACCAGCACCATGTGACTGGCTGACAAGTCGTTGCACTACTTTCATGATGTGGTTTCCCATCTGGCAGGGAGCAGTTTGATATGAATAGTAGAGTAGGGTTACTTATAAGGTAACAAATACAACTGCCAGTTAAAACTAGTCTCCTTCAGGTCTTTTCTGAAAAGTTTGAAACTTTATTCATTGAGTAGAACTTTAAAAACTGTGGATTTTCACATTTTTGTTCATACAGGTGTTCTCATTTAGGGCTGCCTCTCTGTACATGTGTATACTGACCTCATTTTGGCCATCTTGAATGAGTGTAACCTCTTCTTCCTGCACTACCTCCTCTGTCTGAGTCTGGAAAATATGGCAGGAGCAGCTCAAATGAATACCAAAACCCACCAGTAACCAACACTGATACGGTGCATTTTATTGACAATAACTTGTCATAAATATCACTAGGAATGATAAGGAACTGCCTCATTGAATCCTGTGAAACATATCATTACCCAACTCAAACCGTTTATGCTGTCCAGTTGCTTCTCTCGGTTGTCCTTCCCAGCTAATAGTTATGACACAAGACAAAACCACACTTTTTCTTAGCCCCGTGGCTCCCACCTTGATGATATACTCCTGTGTGTCTGCCACCACTGACGAGAACTCCACCAGGACAGCATGAGGGTCGTCTGAGATGATGGCTGCTGTAGCGAGGCTGTCCACCGACTCCTGCTCCTCTGTTACCACAGCCTGCTGCTCACTGGAATCTTCCTTTTGGCAGCCTCCTGGTGGAAATCAAAGACTGTGTTATAAGACCTGTTAATGCCACTTACTGTAAATAATTACAACTGAAGGGCAGATTTATTGCGTTTTCATGGTTCTTTGGTTTTGTATAGATTTCCAACAATCATACTAACCTTTAGCACGCCTATGCCTATTGAGGGTCCCGTGCTCAGCAAAGCCCCGGCCACATTTTGGGCATTTAAATGGCTTCTCCCCAGTGTGATGGCGGATATGTCGAACCAGAGAACCTTTTTCCCTGAAGCCTCTCATGCAGAACTGACACACATAGGGTTTCTCATCAACATGAGTCCGCTGATGTACCTGCAAGGCATTCTGAGTAAGAGAGAATGGTATGCTTGAGATGGCAGGGAAATGCATTTTATATCTCTAAATGACAAATTGGTGAGGATAAACTACATTTGGTGTGGCTGTGGCTAAGTAGGGAGAGTGGGTCGCCCCCTAATTGCAGGGGTGCCAGTTCAAACCCCAGATTCTCCAGTCCCTGTCAAAATATACTTGGGCAAAACACTGAACCCCAAGTTGCTCCCAGTAGCCTTGTATGGCTGTTTTACCTGGCATCACGTATGAATGATGAATGTGTGAGTGACTGGATGAATGAGCAAGTACAGTAGAAAAGTGCTATACAAGTCCATTTACCAAAACAAAAGTGGAGTTCAATCTCTAAACTTTACAAAAAATATCTACAAACAGTACTGGTAAACACAAATCACCTTGGTCTTGTATCCTTTGTTGCATCTGGCACAGTGGTAGGGTCTTTCATCTGAGTGGGCCCTCATGTGCTCACGTACATGCCCAACGGTTTTGTACAGCTTGCCACACTCACCACACTTGTACCTCCTCTCACTGACATGAACTTCCATGTGTTTCTTCAGCATGTAACCAGTCAGAAACTCTTTTTGGCAAAGTGTGCACTTGAAGGGCTTATAACCTGCAAAACCAAATGATATTTAACCGTGGACTGAGAAAAAAAGAACCCAGTTTCACATCAGCAGCTTTGTTTTGATTACACAGTTTGGCAAAGTTTGATATGAAAAGTTATATAAAGCATACAGTGATATTTTGAGTCTAACGGTTCTGGACTTACCCAAATGGCCCCTGACATGAAAGCGAAAGTAGTTCAGGCCCTTGAAGGAGCGATTACAGTGTGGACATGCGTGCAGTTTTGAGGGTGTCTGATCATCTCCATCCTCTGTTTCCTGGAAAAGAAACAGAAGAGGAAAGGAACACTATGCACATGCAAATAATATGCAGCAGTGGATTAAAATTGGAAACCAAGACTTCCACTAAAACTAAGTGTAAAAAAGCATCAATTAATCATTCGCTCTTCGCGGCTGAAGACATGTAGATCAATCCCAGTTCCATGCATTCTTACACCTACCTCTATCTCCATTTCCACAAACTCTTCCTTAGTTTGGATCTCTGCAACACTCTTGTCGACATCAGGACAGTCAGAAACCACTTTATTTAGCTCCTCGGTTGCCTGAGAGGTCTCCTCAACCACTGCTTCCTCCGTCCCCAGTGCAATACCAGAGTTGATGATGGCCTGGCAGATGAGGTTGTCGCCCACTGTCGCAGTTGCAGCCAGGGCTTCTGCCTGTGACTGTTCTACCATCACCTGGACAGAAGGAGAGCAACAAAAAAAAATTATTTGGATAAGATTTAAAGGCAAAATCATTTCATACTAAATACACATCTCCCCTTTTTCTTTATCAGTGCAAAACTGTTCCAAAAATCACTTTAAGAGAAGAGTATATATTTTGTGTGTATTCTGA